GAGCTGAAAACAGCACCTCAGACTGAGGAAGTCTCTTGGATGAGAGACGAAACGTTTCTACATTTTTTTGTTTATTTGCTTTGTTTTGTTTTTTTGAATGTCCAGAGGACCAGATTTAACTTTTTTAGATTTTTCTACCTGGATTATTGAGCATGCATCAGGATACTGATTAGTCCTGCACATCAGTTCATTCGTCAGTACAGAACACCTTTAACCTGTGAATGTTTGTACTTTTCCTCACATGAACTGATCACCTCAGCTCCTTCAAAAATACTTTTATTGAATTAAAGTCACAATTTGGATTTTTGAACGTCAAAATTGTTCAATTTAACATTATTTTAGTAGAAGCACATGTGCATTTATTGCTTAGCTGCACAAACTAGTTTTCCCAGATTAACTTTTTTTAGACAACATACTGTCTGTATATATTTTACTTTGACTAGTTTGCTTAGAAATGGAAATTTTAACACATTATGTTTTATGCTGGATTAAAAAAGTAATTTATTTTCTTCAGACTATAGCACTTCTAATCAAACATCCCTTCTATGAAACATTAAAAAAAGTCAATTGTTTTGGAGAAAGGATAGTTTCTCACTGATGGATCATTTCCACCAATTAATGAAAAAATAATATTTTGTTTTAGTTGTGCAATGGGCTTTATAAAGCTAGATTTTATTAGAAAATGTAATTTTTAAGTCATATTTACATGGAGGAGTTATTAAATTTTACAGTTTACATAAAACAAACAATTTGACATCATTATGTTAATATAAAAAAAGCATGTTAGCAAACCTTGGCTCATATAAGGGGAACATTTAGGTCAATAAAATGACGTTGGATCAAGTAGTAAAAAAAAAAAAAAAAAACTTTGACAATTACGTATAGTGATGTTTCATAGATGATCTGAATGATTATATCTGCGTTATAGATCCTAAATGTTAAATTTTACATGCAAATGCCACGTCTCCATAACTCACCTTGCAGCAGTGTCGTAGTCTCCGTACTCCACCAAGTGATTGATGTAAGCCATTCCAATTTTCTGAACGTCGTGTCTCTTGATGTTTTTGAAGCTGATCTCTGCAGCCATCAGCGCCTCCTGCACAGACACAAAATTAAACTATGACATTGGCATCGTAACCTTTAGCAGCATTTAAAAAAAAAAAAAAAAGTTGAACCCAAACCTCATATTTCTTCTTTTCAAGCAGCCAGTCGATATGGTCATCCTGGTCTCGCTCTTTGGCCACGACGATGTCTTTGGGACTGATGATGTAGAACAGCGACTCTCCCTCCGAATGCTCTGTTAATGAAAATGCATTTATGGCTCTGCGTACAGTGCGTTACAGCTGACATTTGATAATCGATGCATAATATAATCAGACTGTAGTAAAAAAACAGCGAGACATTTGTCTGGGAGCAGTTTTTATGGGCTCACCGAGGCGGTAGTCTCTACATTTATTTTCTCGGAAGAAGCGAACAGTCAGAGCGTCTGAGGAGATCTCCTCGAAGCTCTCGGGGAGAGGCTGGATGATGTCGAGACGAGGCCGTGCTTCAAACTCCTCATCCTGCGTGCGCACATAACGCGTTGCTAGCTACATTTCTGTACTTATGAGAGCTTTGAACAATTTACAAGCATCACTGTTACCACCTGATCCGAGTTCTCATTCACAAAGAACAGAGTGACGAGCTGATCGACCAGCGGTGCCAAGCCACAGATGAAAAACTCCGTCTCAAATGCAGAAACTGAAAGAAACAAAATATTTCATTTGCAGGATGAAAGAGGATACATAAAAGTATATTAGGTGGTTTAGGGTGACACAATATACTGTACTTTCCAGCGTATAAGTCGCAGTTTGTTATGTAGATTTGTCAGTCCTGCAACTTATACGCCAAAGCGACTCATACACTTTTTTCTCATATTCATAACGCAATTTTTGACTGATGCTTTAAATTTTGAAGAACTGCAACAGCGAGTCCTCCCATGCGTGCTCGCTTCACTCAGCTGGTGCAGACGGAGGAACGCTGGAGAGCTAGAGGCTCCGGCCGAGATGGATGGATGGATGGCGTCGCCCAGGTGAAATGAAGCTGTTTTGACCATTAAATAAACGCATAATAAATGCGACTTATACAGTAAAGCGACTTATGTACCAGTATGTTTTCTTTTTTCTCGTCATGATGCTTTTTTGACTGATGCGACTTATATGCTGGAAAATACGGTACTTATTTCTAACATTTGATGCCTCTACTTCACCCTTTTGTTTTAGTTTGACGCTTTATGGCTCACAACCAGTTTAATTAATAATATGGAAATCTACATATTGCTTAAATGCAATTTGGGCCTTTGGATGAAACCAAAAAGCTTTATTGCAGTGTTTTTCTCTCTTTTTTGTCAGTGACCAGATTGTGATGTCCTCACATGCCTGTTTGAGAATAACACTATTATGTTGATCATATTGGATCACATATTGCATTTTGACTTTTAAATGTAATGTTCTGTCCTCTACTGTAGTCGTGCTGTACTTTTCTTATTCTAATTTAATCAAAATAAGATTTTCTGTAAAATTCTTGAAGACGAGATGTGCTTCTTGCTGGCGAGCGGTGTGATTTTTACCTATTTCCACATAGCGGCTAGGCAGATCTCTTATTTCTGTAGGATTTCTTTCTTTCACAACACAAATCTAAGGGAAACAAAATAGGAAGATGACTCTTAAGACTTGGTAAAACTAGTAAAATAGCAGAAATTATTAACAGACAAACCTTAATGGAGGTACCCCAGCCGACAATGAGCGTGGTGTCGTCTTTCCAACACAGACTGCATGGGTACATGTCAGGCCTCAGGCTAACGTTATCCCTCAACACGTTGGAGATCCGTTGCTTTGTGGTCATGTCATAGATTTTTACTCCCTAAATAAAGAAAATAAGAAACAAAACAAAAGCGATATCGCAATCAGCACTGGAGGTACAGCCTGATTGCTTTAACGAGGCCGTCACTCACCAGGTTGTTGGCCCACACGATCAGGTTGGCTCTCCACTGGACATTAGTGATCGTCCCCTCACCTTCATGTAAAACCAGCTTCTTCCAGCGATTCAACCAGTTCCTTTCATACAGAAGCAGCTTGAAGGAAGAAAAATTTAAATAAACCACACAGTGTGCAGTACTAGAAATAGGCCTACAGAGGGCAGTAGATAAACAGCATTTTGCTCTGATTTAACAGGCTGAGACTTTTAGCTTTAAAAACCCAACTCTAATGCAAATACACACATCTTCTTTTTGCATAGATATAATTTTATTTTGGAACATTTTAGCACAGAGAAAATTAATATAAACTATCCGTTTGACTTTGATGAAGCAAGAAAAGAGTCGCTGATGGAACAAGTCATTTTAAAAACACGCATGACTGACAAAATGCACAAAGGGGAAGGGAAGTGTTTAAAATGTGCTGCATTAAAAGCATAACTCCACACTCTTGTCACTGAATAGTAGCGCTTTAGGTTGCTCATCTTTGATTGGGCATATTGGAGATGGTGAAAAAATATATAGTCATACGTTTTTATGTTTTAGCGTCACTTTTTTTGCACAAAAGTTGTGGTAAGTGTGGAATTTCAGGCATCATGTTGACTTCATCTATTGCAGTTAACCTTTCCTTGCATTCCTTGAGCTGTTATTATCCTTACTACAAAACGATGGTCGAAAGGACCCCCAAAAAGGTGCCTTATATTACCGGAGAAGACTTTTTAATTCAGCATTTGGGCTATGTTAATAAACAGTTTGCTCCACAAAAAGATGAGACAACAAAAGAAACTGGGGAGACAAAATTGAATTTCCTTTGACAGGATGTGGCTCCCGTTGAGGCTTATTGATTTTCATCACAGGCACCTCGCGGAGGCCTTCACAACATGGCACGGAGAGGAATCAGCACCATTTCAAAGAAAATGGCAGAAGAACACTAAGAATGAAGTTGTACTGAAAAAGTTTGTCCTCCAGCTTTTGTAGAAATCTCGTCACGCCTTATTTATTTATGTACCATGATGGCACATCTATAAATGATTACTTCTGAAAGCTAAAAAAAAAAAAAGACAGATCTAATGTCCAAACTCATTTCACCTTATATATGCTTCCCAAAGAGATCACTATACGTTTCTGAAAATCCGGAGACTGCGTACTTCTTTATAATGGCATCTATTTGCCGCGCCTGTAAAGCATTGCTTTTGAAACATTGTTGAGAGAATAGCACTTTGTGAAAATGGGCAGCTCTGCCGAGAGCACTCCAGTAACGACACAGAAAAACTAAGAGCCTTTCACCGGAGACAAAAGGCCCAAGTTTCGCCTTCAGCCGAGTCAAAGTGACTTCGTTTTAACAGGAATCGGTTTCAAACAGACACAATTGGGTGGGGTGGGGAAATTACTGTTGCAGGAAATTTCTTTAAATGTTGAAAACTGTATATAATGACTGTGCTAAGACAGTCTGTTTGAACCTACCTTGTTACCCCCTGTGACAAACTGTTTGCAGTTTGATCTGCTGAATTGAGGGTGTAATGCAACTGCCTGCAAGAAAAAAGGAAAGATTTTACTGTTTAGAAAAGTACATTTTAGTCCACAGGACATATATAATAAACTCCAACAAACTGAGGGGGAAAACCTACTTTGATGGGACAGTCGAAGTTATCATGGAAGCCCTCTCTCGTGTAAAGGCCGAACACTTGAACCTGAAACAGAGACGAGGCAGCAGAACAGAAAGAAAAGGTGAAATACTGGAAATTCCTCCTTTAATTGCTGCCTCTGCAACTATCTGAGGCCAGCGGGGGAAAAGTGGGGTCCGAAAAGACTTTGATTGGCTCCCTACTTCTCCTCTGGGTTACCAATTAGTGGACAGGCTGATTTTCTTGAACCCTGCAGGCTTTAGAACAGAAGGCCTAATCTTGGACTTGACCACAGCTTCAGTTTTAGCTACAATGTTGTACATGACAGCTACTTTTTCTTTATCTGAAAGCCCCAAAAGATGGGTGAATATTATAAAAGTCTGATACGATCTCCTTTTTCACATCAGTAATTAAGGATTAAGTTAGATTTCAAAGGATTAACAGCGAGCTGAATCTATGAAGGGGTTGCAGCGTTGGCTTTAATTGTCAGCTCCGTTTTTTTGTAGCGACAAGATCTTGTTTTTTTGCCATCACAGCACTGAAAGTTAAAGGGGTGGGCATATCACAGAGCATATCTTGACTGCAAAATCCTTGAAGGATGGTGGTAATGATGAGAAGAGACAAGATAACAGCAGGAACATGGAGAGGGTATCCACAGAGTGGCTGATGGCTGACTGACAGCTCGACAGATCTGAGTACAATCCTTTAACACGCTCTTCAAAATTGTTACAAGCTTTTTATAAATTTTAACATCACTGGGAAAAAAAAAGTGGGTTTATGTGTTGATTTGGTGGAGATAAAAGTCCAGATTTGATGCTGCGAATGTGGAAGAAGTGCCGTGTAAAAATTCACTCCTAAACGCCTCAACTTCCAAATCATTAGCATGTTAGAGGCCGATGAGTTCATATGAATTACGAAAGATGAAAAACCCTGATTTAGAGCAGCAAGACCCAAGAATCAGGATCCAGCACTAAGAGAAAAAATCTCACCTTCCCATCCTCAGAGCAGATGCCCATGTGCTCTCCACTCTCATCCAGACTGATCTGGTTGATCGTCACAGAACTCTGCACAAACACAGGATCATTTTTATTAGAGGAAGGGAGAATTTTACATCAAAAGGCACTATGACTGAGGTTTTAACAAAGAGTTAAACAGTACAAAAAACTTGGAAAGTGAAACGCCTACCATTCCTAAGAGGAATGCATTATCTTGGTGCTTTTCAATCTGTTCTGAATTGAGTTGGACTTAAAAGTCATAGAGTTGCAGAGTTTCAATCAATGATTAGTTAATACGAGGTTCAAAAAAGTTTCCTGAGCAAAAACAATTCAGTTCAATTCAGTTTATTTACAGTATGTAGCGCCAGAACACAACACAAGTCATCTCAGGGCACTGAACAGAAACATTCATATACAGTAGTCCCTCGTTTATCTCGGGGGATCCGTACCCTGAAGCCCTGAGATAAGTGAAAAACCACAAAGTAGGAATAGTAGTGCAAGTAGTAGTTTATATATATATATATATATATAT